GTTATGTTAAGCCTAGATCATTCCAAGCTGAGGTCATCTTTAGTCTAGAACTTCCTTGGAACCACTTTGTTTGACCTCCACCTTCGCCCTGACATATTGGCCGAGATGTCATTATCTAGGCCGAGGTGTTCATCACCAAGGCCGAGGTGTGAATTATCTAGGCCGAGATGTTATCGTTGAACCCAGTGACCTTACTCCTGGATTGGTACGACCTAGACCGAGGTGTGGCACATCTAGGCCAAGGTGTGGCACAGCTTAGTCAAGTGTTGTCCTTCCTAGCCGAGGTCATTGTTTCCTTACTTGCCGATGCCTTGCTTTTAGCCGAGATCATTGCCTACCGAAGTGCCCATGCCATCTTGCTTGTTGAACACACTTTGTCATAGTCTTGTCTTGTCACTCAGCCACCTTTTTGAGTAGCACTAACCAGCCGCTGCCACGTGCCCCTGTAGAGGGTTAAGTCAGCCAGCAGACCTAGAAATGTATCATTTTGCTATATGTCTTTGTTTGTGAGGAGACAGAAGCTCTAGAAGAAGAAGAAGTTTAGAGTGATAGAGTGGGTTTTCGAGCTCGATTCCTAGAGATCAAACCATTAGATTCGCGTATTGAGGATAGATTCTTGATTTACTCTTGTCGTTCTTGTTGATCATCTAGCTGCATTGCACGATCGAACCTGTTCTGCATGTCATGCATCGATTTAAAGTTGGTTTAGAAAGAGAAAATAGTGTTCATGTGTTCTTGAAGAAAAAGTCTTGTTTGATCTGAAAGTTTGCATTAAGATTCATGTTTTTGTGTTTGTTCTCACAAGATCCTTGAATATGGGTACCCAGGTCCATATTTTTGAACTCATAGCATGAAATCTCAGATTTTGTAATAGCAAATTATGATCTTTGCATTCATCTTCCTCATGTTCATGTTCTTCATGTTCATCATGTTCTTCATGTTCATCATGTTCTTCAAGAGAGGGAAACCCAGATTTTTTCCGACTTCATTCTTTTGAATGAGGCCATCAAGGCCACACCTCGGCAAGGGGGTGTGGAACCTCAGCCTAGACCTGGTAGTTGCCCAGCATGTTTTCCCGAGATAAAGAACTGTGTTTGTTTTGATTTGACTTAGTCTTGAGGAATGTCGAGATCATCTGCATGCATATGAAACTTGTTTGAAAGTGCATTCAACAGACTTTGCCATGTGTTTGTAGGACTTGGACTTGCCTTGACCCCGACGTTTGAAGAACTAAGTGAGTGGTATTTTTAATAAAGCTATGTTATAATGCTTTGATAAAAGTCTTGTTTTGCTTCGTTTTGAAAAGTATTTGTAAGCATGAATGGTTATTCCTAGTTGGAAAATATACATACTATGTTGTTCTGATGACATTCTGGGAAAGTCTGTACGTGCTACAGGACTATAAGCATTTGTAGCACAACCTTTGAAAGTCCTTACGTGCTGGAGGACTCTAAGCATTTGCAGCACAAAGTTTGGAAGTCCTTACGTGCTGGAGGACTCTAAGCATTTGCAGCACAAAGTTTTGAAGTCCATACGTGCTAGGGGACTCTAAGAATTAGTAGCACAAGTCCTTAGCGTCAAGGGACTATAATGCAACGGCACCAATGAATTGAGATATGTCCCTTGTCTTGCCTTGTCTTGCCTTGTTTGCCACTGACGGTTTACCGCGTGGGTTTGTTTGCCGAGATGTCATCACTTGTATTATAATGATGTTAGTAAGCATCCTTTGAAACTTGACAGATTTGGAAGAAGGACTTGGTTAATCCCTTGACTTGCACTAATTATGTTATGTATTGTTTGATAAAGATCTTGGATACCAATCACGCAAACCCCTTTATTACTTATACCATTCACTGAGTATCCAAGCTCACCCTCTATATATATATATATGTAGGTGATGAGCAGGAAGGCGGTGATGCCTAGGTGTGATTCGCGAGCTTGTTTTGGGTTTTGTTATGTCGGCCTAACTTGTATTTACATCGGCAGTCTTGAAGATTATGCTTCTCGGATTATAATACTTGTAATTTACACATGTCGGCTTGAGAAGCCTTTTGATCAAGATGTAATATGTATTTTGGTACTTCATTGTGTTTGTATTCACGTTGTAAAATTATGTAAAGTTGTATGCCATTCCATGTAACTTACGCACTGCTCTTATGGACCGCTTGTATTTTTAAATTATTGCTTCCGCACTTGTGAGCCCCATATATAAATTTATACTCTGATTGTGTGTGGATTTTGAAGGTTGGCCTTCGGTAATCCCGGATTACTGGCCATCATGGCACCAAACTACTAGGGGCGGTTTGGGGTCGTGACAGATTTGTATCAGAGCGCAAGTTTCTTATAGTGCGCTATTCACACACTCGAGTCCTAAAGAGCAAAGGATTTCCCTTAGAAAAATGTTAGGATCGCATCGTATTGCTTGCTATTTGACAAGGTGTGCATCATCTCGGCATGACCATTTGTTATTTGCATACATGATTCTTGGTTCAGTGTGTTTTAAGGTTGCATTTTGCCTACTCATAGCATCATGAGGAGAGGTAGACCACCAGTTGGCCGAGATCAATCAGAGGATAGACTGGACAGACTAGAAAGACTGGTTGAAGGTTTGGCCCATGAGTTGAGGCAGATGAGGCAACAGAATGCAAGTGCTATATCTACCCAGGCCGAATAGACGGATGGCCGACACGCAGCTCCACCTCCTCCAGTGCCCCAAGTGCCTCCACAGCCAGCCTTGTATGGGGAAGGGATGATGACTTTGATTAAAGAGTTCAAGAAGATGAACCCACCGAGATTCTCAGGGGGGCATAGAGCCGATGAAGGCCGAGGCGTGGGTTTTGGAAATGGAAAAGCTGTTCGAGATATTTTCCAGCACCGACACTCAGAAGGTGACATTAGCAGCATTCACATTAAACGACGACGCTCGAAGGTGGTGGATGATGATCCGGGAGGCTAATCCTGGTTTAACTTGGGCTAGATTTTTGGAACTGTTTTACAACAAGCATTTTCCGCTTAGCGTTCGAGATCGCAAGACCACAGAGTTCCAAACTCTGACACAAGGCAACAGAACAGTGGCAGAGTATGACCGTGCCTTCATCGAATTGGCGAGATACGCGCCTCATATGGTCAGTGATGAGTATAGGAAAGCCATGAAGTTTGAAAGTGGACTACGTGGACCAATCCAGGATCGGGTCAACATGCTCAATATGCTGACTTACGCCGAGGTGTTAGACAAGGCCATCTTGGCGAAAGCCAACTTAAACCGATATCAAAGTTCAGGAGAGAGTCAGAGGAAAAGACGGAACTATGAAGGTCGTCGGATGCCATTTAATGTCAAGAAGAAGGCGAATGTGGGCAGTTCCAGCAACTCAAATCGAGATGGTAATGCTAAGCCGATGTGTGCGAGTTGTGGGAAGCCGCATCTCGGGGTTTGTCGCTAGGCGACAGGCGCCTGCTTTGAATGTGGCGAGATAGGCCACCGCGTAAAAGACTGTCCAAAGGCAAAAGCTAATGATGGTAAGAAAAATTGGAGCACCTCGGGCTCTGCACAAGGAAGCAACGTCGGAAGGACGTAGATAAGACAGGGCAGCGTTTTTGCTCTAGTGCCAGGAGACACCCAGAATGCTGAAACGGTAGTGTCAGGTACACTCTTAATTTGCTCTCAAGTTGCATACGTCTTGATTGATTCGGGCTCTACACATTCATTTGTATCTGTTAAATTTCCCGAGAAGTTGAACAGACCGTTAGAACCCCTTGATTATATGCTATCTGTATAGCTTTTAAGATGTACAAAAAAGTAGAGAGGTGATATGACTTAAAAAAGATAAAAATAAAAAAATAAAAAAAATATGCTATTATAGGGGATGCCAAACAACCCCATTTGGGGACATCGTTGTTGTGGAGAGAATTTGGAGCTGGCCTGTCTAGCTCGAGACAGATAGCAATTGATAGAGGGGTTGTTGTTAGTGATATGTGAGGAGGGAGAGGGATCAAATCTTTTGGGACTTTTGGGCCTTATTTTAGCCTTGTTTGACGTGGCTTGGGTCTTCCTTTCAAATGTTTGGGACCTTTTGCTTTCTTGGAGGGTAGCCAGAGTTGAAAAGAGAAAAAGGAGGCGATTGGTAGCTAGGACCTCCCATTTTATTTTGGAGCATCTGGATGGAGCTTAATAGAAGAAGTTTTGATGGTGTTAAGAGTCTTAAGGCTTTCATTTTTGTATTAAAGAGTAGAATTCTAACCATCTTTTACAATTGGATCTTGAGGGGTGTTGAGCCTTCATTGAATCCTTTTTTGAATTTTATTGACAATTTTGAATATATTGATGGATAGGAGTTGTTTTTTATTGGGATAGATTTACATATACATGTATAACACAAGCCCGATTATACATTCTAAGATTTTGTGAAACTAACTATAATACATTGGTTTATTCTCCGTTCCATATATTTAAAGCTCCACAATTGAGAAGTGTGACGTCCATGGAGCTGGGTTGTGATGCCCATGGCTATTCTCATGCTGGAAATGAAACGGCAATTTGGTACTTTGTTATTCTAGCAGGAAGATCAAGCCCAGAACTCAACAAAATGCGTGTAGTGAGTTTGTTTGCCCTGCTTGTTATGTTAAATTAAATCCCCACTTGGTAGTTATTTCCTAGAAATGATTTAGCTACTTCGTTGGGAAATCATTGTCTAGTGATGCCAGCTGATTTTTCTAAACTTTGAAGACAAATCTTCATAAATTAAAATAGACAACTACCTAAGAAAGAATAGAAAAGGTAACTTGAGGAAAATAGTAGAGAAAGTGGTTAGAAAGAAAACACAGAATGTGAAAGAACTTTATTTGTTGAATCCTGGCAAAGACCCTGATGTTCATTTGAAGTAATGACACACAAAGTGTACTCATTCAAAATTTGATGTTGAATATAACAGAAAGATTCATGTATGCATGCCCAAATGCTAGTATATCCTTCTAGTTTACTAAATGGAGTACATTACTATGATAAAGACTCTGCACAGGATCCTAGAAGCACTGTCCACAGTTGATAACGATCAGCCGTCGTCACTAGCAGCTGTTGCACTGAAGGAAAAGCGGTTGACATTTACTTGGCTTAATGGGGAAGCCCAACAAGTAAGTGTCATCTTTTGTTTGTCTGGCATGTCAATGATTTCCAAGTTTAGTTGTAGTTGAATTCACATTTGTAGTAGTGGATTAATTAATTTGAGGGTCATGTATGTGATGCTGTATATATGGTACTTGGTAGCAATTTATTCTGAAATTTAATCTCTTTGTCGAACTTAGTTGGGATCACTATTGGCATTGGAAGATTTTTGCCAAAGTGCCAGTATCTTAATCCAAATGGTGGCCTAAGTTGGAAAAGGTGGTCAGTGATTATTGCTGTTAAAAATTCTGACAGTGTTATACTGCCATAAAATGATGTGAAATTATCTACATTACAAATCATTCAATCTAATAGCAGGATAAATTCTGAAACATTAAATACTAAAACCACATGTGACCTTTGGCCCTGAAAATGCAGGGTATCAAAAAACATCGTCACAACTTCCTTATGCGCTATACTCTCGTGCTGTAAGCAGCTGAGAATTTCTACTTGAAACTTTTGGAAATGTCCAAGAGTCTGATTGCATTCATAAACCTTTTGACATCTGAATATGGTTTTTTGAGAAGATTATAGAGGCCTGTCACTGATTTGAAATTTTAGGATGTAATTCTCATTTTTATGGCTCTTCTTTTCCTTTCGTTAAAAAAAAAATTCTAGTACTTTTTGATAATCTTTCAAAATATGTGTTATTAATCTTAGAAAGTTATTGTATGATTCAGAGTTTTAAAAGGCTTTCCTGAGGCTCGCCTTGAGGCTAAGGTAAAACGCATCAATGATTTCACCGAATTGGCGAGATACGCGCCTCATATGGTCAGTGATAAGTATAGGAAAGCCAAGAAGTTTGAAAGTGGACTACGTGGACCAATCCAGGATCGGGTCAACATGCTCAATATGCTGACTTACGCCGAGGTGTTAGACAAAGCCATCTTGGCGGAAGCTAATTTAAACCGATATCAAAGTTCAGGAGAGAGTCAGAATCTTGGCGGAAGCTAACTTAAACCGATATCAAAGTTCGGGAGAGAGTCAGAGGAAGAGATAGAACTATGAAGGTCGTCGGATGCCGTTTAATGCCAAGAAAAAGGCGAATGTGGGCAGTTCCAGCAACTCAGATCGGGATGGAAATGCTAAGCCGACGTGTGCGAGTTATGGGAAGCCGCATCTCGGGGTTTGTCGCTGGGCGACAGGAGCCTGCTCAAGAGAGAGTCAGAGGAAAAGACAGAACTATGAAGGTCGTCGGATGCCATTTAATGCCAAGAAGAAAGTGAATGTGGGCAGTTCCAGCAACTCAAATCGGGATGGTAATGCTAAGCCGACGTGTGCGAGTTGTGAGAAGCCGCATCTCGGGGTTTGTCGCTAGGCGACAGGCGCCTGCTTTGAATGTGGCGAGATAGGCCACCGCGTGAAAGACTGTCCAAAGGCAAAAGCTAATGATGGTAAGAAAAATTGGGGCACCTCGGGCTCTGCACAAGGAAGCAACGTCGGAAGGACGTAGATAAGACAGGGCAGCGTTTTTACTCTAGTGCCAGGAGACACCCAGAATGCTGAAACGGTAGTGTCAGGTACACTCTCAATTTGCTCTCAGGTTGCATACGTCTTGATTGATTCGGGCTCTACACATTCATTTGTATCTGTTAAATTTCCCGAGAAGTTGAACAGACCGTTAGAACCCCTTGATTATGTGCTATCTGTATCTACTCCATCTGGGGGAACTATAATTATTGCATCCATATATAGGGCGTGTGTTGTGGTGATTGAGGATGTAGAATTATTAGCTGATTTGATGCCATTAAGCATGACTCACTTCGACGTCATATTGGGAATGGATAGGTTAGTAGCGCATCATGCATCCATTAATTGTGTTACTAAGAGCGTTACACTAACACGTTTCACGTGAAAGGAACAAATGTGGTGTAACCAATAGGCGTACTTAACCGTATCTCATACGGAGAGGGGGAAAGTTTTAACCGGGTAAACGTCAAATCCTAACACATTTCACATGAAAAGAACAAAGATGGTGTAACGAACAGACATGTTAGTGATATGTGAGGAGGGAGAGGAGGAAAACTTTTGGGACTTTTGGGCCTTATTTTAGTCTTGTTTGACGTGGCTTGGGTCTTCCTTTCAAATGTTTGGGGCCTTTTGCTTTCTTGGAGGGTAGCCAGAGTTGAAAAGAGAAAAAGGAGGCGATTGGCAGCTAGGACCTCCCATTTTATTTTGGAGCATCTGGATGGAGCTTAATAGAAGAAGTTTTGATGGTGTTAAGAGTCTTAAGGCTTTCATTTTTGTATTAAAGAGTAGAATTCTAACCATCTTTTACAATTGGATCTTGAGGGGTGTTGAGCCTTCATTGAATCCTTTTTTGAATTTTATTGACAATTTTGAATATATTGATGGATAGGAGTTGTTTTTTATTGGGATAGATTTACATATACATGTATAACACAAGCCCGATTATACATTCTAAGATTTTGTGAAACTAACTATAATACATTGGTTTATTCTCCGTTCCATATATTTAAAGCTCCACAATTGAGAAGTGTGACGTCCATGGAGCTGGGTTGTGATGCCCATGGCTATTCTCATGCTGGAAATGAAACGGCAATTTGGTACTTTGTTATTCTAGCAGGAAGATCAAGCCCAGAACTCAACAAAATGCGTGTAGTGAGTTTGTTTGCCCTGCTTGTTATGTTAAATTAAATCCCCACTTGGTAGTTATTTCCTAGAAATGATTTAGCTACTTCGTTGGGAAATCATTGTCTAGTGATGCCAGCTGATTTTTCTAAACCTTAATGACAAATCTTCATAAATTAAAATAGACAACTACCTAAGAAAGAATAAGAAAGGTAACTTAAGGAAAATAGTAGAGAAAGTGGTTAGAAAGAAAACACAGAATGTGAAAGAACTTTATTTGTTGAATCCTGGCAAAGATCCTGATGTTCATTTGAAGTTATGACACAGAAAGTGTACTCATTCAAAATTTGACCTTGAATATAGCAGAAAGATTCATGTATGCATGCCCAAATGCTAGTATATCCTTCTAGTTTACTAAATGGAGTACATTACTATGATAAAGACTGCGCAGGATCCAAGAAGCACTGTCCACATTTGATAACGATCAGCCGTCGTCACTAGCAGCTGTTGCATTGAAGGAAAAGCGGTTGACATTTACCTGGCTTAATGGGGAAGCCCAACAAGTAAGTGTCATCTTTTGTTTGTCTGGCATGTCAATGATTTCCAAGTTTAGTTGTAGTTGAATTCACATTTGTAGTAGTGGATTAATTAATTTGAGGGTCATGTATGTGATGCTGTATATATGGTACTTGGTAGCAATTTATTCTGAAATTTAATCTCTTTGTCGAACTTAGTTGGGATCACTATTGGCATTGGAAGATTTTTGCCAAAGTGCCAGTATCTTAATCCAAATGGTGGCCTAAGTTGGAAAAGGTGGTCAGTGATTATTGCTGTTAAAAATTCTGACAGTGTTATACTGCCATAAAATGATGTGAAATTATCTACATTACAAATCATTCAATCTAATAGCAGGATAAATTCTGAAACATTAAATACTAAAACCAAACCACATGTGACCTTTGGCCTGAAAATGCAGGGTATCAAAAAACATCGTCACAACTTCCTTATGCGCTATACTCTCGTGCTGTAAGCAACTGAGAATTTCTACTTGAAACTTATGGAAATGTCCAAGAATCTGATTGCATTCATAAACCTTTTGACATCTGAATATGGTTTTTTGAGAAGATTATAGAGGCCTGTCACTGATTTGAAATTTTAGGATGTAATTCTCATTTTTATGGCTCTTCTTTTCCTTTCGTTAAAAAAAATTCTAGTACGTTTTGATAATCTTTCAAAATATGTGTTATTAATCTTAGAAAGTTATTGTATGATTTGAGCCACAAATCCTACAATATGTCATGTTTATACAAATATATTGTGTATTTAAAAGATGTATTGAGGCTAGCTTCGAGGCGAGGCTAAGGTAAAATGCATTGAGTTTTTTAAAATTATTTTTGGGCGAAACTCTCCAAAGACTTGCACATCACAGTTTGAGGCGTGCAACACATGTGCACCTTGTACTCATTTTGCAGATAAATATGAGGAGCTGTGTTACATGGACTCTTCTATTTCCCCCACAGTACCCATGTCCACTGGATATGACATTGGTAGGGGTGTGAAATATGTGTCCGACACTTGTACCCAATTTAGGCACTCAGATGCTTTAATTTATGACAATACATGAAAAAGAAGAAACTCACATTTGTTAGTAAAGTAATATTTTTAGCCTCTCACATGAATTAGATATAGAAATTTCATGTTTTTCCTATATCTTATTTAATTTCTAGTATATTTTTACACAATTTACCACATCTCATTCAAGAATATTATATAAAATATAATATATATGTGCATATAACGTGTCCCAGTACCCATATCCAATTTTGGATGCGTACCCCAAGATTTAAATTTATGAAGGTCTGACGCTTGGATACACACTTGCACCCGATACTCTTATCTCAGTCCCATGTAACAATACATATATGGAGAGCTTGTCTTGGGTTGTTGTTAAGCTTATTATAATACCTAGTTGTTGTTGTTGTTGTTTTTTATTTTTTTATTTTTTTATTTTTTTTATTTTTTATTTTTTTCTAAGACCTAGATTTAAACAAAAAAAAAAACAAGAACCTCTTTTGTAACCATCATATTCCATGGAAAAAACCAAGAAAAGTATAAAGCAAAGACTCAAGTAAGAAATTCAATAGCTCAAACTAAGAATGTCAAGCTCATCTTCGATGAGGGCAAGTTTCCTATTCTGTAATGAAATGTTCAACGCCTTGAGGAGAAATGTATTTAAACATTTATATTTAATTTTGAATAAAATTAAAATTAATGTGTACTAATTGGACGATGTTTTTTTATTTAGTTTTAAATAACTTTTTCTCACTAAATATAAAAATTTGAAATTTGAAATGCATATGTGTTGATGCCTTGAGAT